GGCTACCTCCTGTAGACAATGCTCTCCCTTATCAGGGCAGACTGCTGTCTGGTTTCCTGTCTTGAGCTCTGGCATTACTGCTTCAGATGAGAAACCGGGTCTAAGAAAGGGACAGATCAGGCTTAAAAACGAGAATGATAAAAACCATCATAATCTTTCTCTTTCAACTTACCCCAAGATGAATTCTGACTAGAATATTACGTATATAGCAAGCCAGATATCAATTGTTCTATGATTCTAGGGATTTTTTTTTTAAAGCTAGAATCAACGATAAATGAAACACTTCAGAAAGAAACCCAATTTCCAGAATAATATAATTCCTAGTATTTAAAAGTTGAGGTCGCTTGTATTTACTTTATTATTATTTTTTAAAACACAACTGGATGTGAAAACAGAGTTGGAAGTACCACTTAAGAAAGCTGTTCATTATAGCAAAAATGTTGATTTGGAAATATTAAGAAGGCAAGTATTTAATGGGGGGATGGAGATAAAATGGAATTAAATTAGGAATAATGATTTGCAGGGTCAAGAGATGAAACTATCATTCCCATTTTTTTTATTGTAATTATAGTAACTATCAGACTGGTATAATTTTTTCAATTGCTTAGCTTAGCATTTAAAAGCCTGCAAAAATTTTTTTTCTGATAGAATATGTTAGACCCCAATCATCTCTATTAACCACTTCCTCTCTCCCCAAATGGTGAGGCAAGGATTTGGGGTAAGCCAAATAAAGAGTCTGTCTACCAAATCTAGGTGGATTGTTAACAACTTTGGAACTAAAACAAAAAACGTTGCTTCAATTTGGGTTTACTTATGATTTTAGTTTAAAGGCCTCTTGTCCTACAAGTCAGGTTAATATTTCAAATTTGCTTCCTCGAAAGGAGAAAGGAAAATTCTTATTGAGACTTTCCAAAACTCCCATCTTTTTTCAAGGAAGGTTATCAGTAGCCTACTATTTATTCTAGTAGCTTTTTTAATATCATATTATATATATCCCTTTATCCATAAAGAATGTGGTGGGACATGAAGTTAAAACCAAAGTACTATTATCATCAATTTTGGGGAGGATCGGGTCTAATTTGCTGCCTCAGCAACTCTGAATTAATTCCGTTAGAGAATGTTGTAGATAATCCCTTTAGATGTTAAAGAAAATCCAAAAATAAGTTTAAAAAAAACAACTTGCCAAAAGTTTTTTTCTGATCATTTCTTTAAAACTTATTTTCTGAAGAATCAAGAGAAAAATAATTTGTTAAAGTAGGTTTTAAATAGTTAACCCAGAAATTTGTTAACTTAACTGCCAATACACATACAAAAAGAAAAAAAAGTGTTATGAAAAAGTTGTTATTGTAAAACAATAAAAACAAAAGCATTCTTCTGTTTTCAAAAGATTAGATTAAAATTTTCCAAATTATCATTAAATGAATTTATTTCCAGTTCTCCTTTTCTTTGAGCTTTTTATTCTTAAAACAGTTTGGAAATCAGATCTAGGATACAGTAAAATCTTCACCTTCAAAAAAATTATCCTAGTATTTAAATCTTTGTCTTCAAAAAGAAATAATCCTGCAGTTTTCTCAATGTATCTTATGCTTTGCTTCAACACTTTCTCTAAAGATTTTTTCCTTAAAACATAAGCAAGACTTTTGAGTCAGCCTAGGCTGCCAAGACTGCTTGAGTTCTCCATCCAATGAAGCCTGTGCCTTGAGCGTCCTGTATTAATGTGAAGAAGGGTGGGCCACATCTTTCAGATAATGCTACATCTTCTAAACTGTAAGGTGGTAATCCTGATCCAAAATTGACAGCTTCAGGGCAAAACGCCAATCTGAAAACAAACACGCTACCCACTTCAAAACCAGAATGAAAAACAAACAAACAAATACAACCTCCTTTAGATTTCTAGCCAATATGCACACAAATTTCTTAAAATTACAATTTGGCAATGAAAAATTTAAAAAGACAAAAGTATGTATTCACCCATATAAACATACTGGAGCAAAGGGTGTATGTAAAAAGGTTAACTGACTTCTCATTATGACATAACACAGGCATCTTAAGCAATCGCAAGTGTGTAGAGACATGATAACTCCCAGGGTGGGGATAGGGAGTTTAGGGGCAGGGACCATGGCCTGGTCTGGGCTACTGATCTACCAGAAAACAGCCTGAAACAGGAAAGAGCACACATATGCCACTTGGAATGTATGACGCAAACCCCAGCCTTGAAACAAAGAACAGGAAACAGCTCTGCTGGCTGTGCTGGAGAGAAAGCACAGAGAAACATTTAGCCGGCCCTCCCTGACCCTATATTCATGAGCAGCTGGAGTTTTTTAAGACAACGGGGGATGGGGGTTGGTGGAGGTGTTTGTTCTATGGGTGTGAATAATAACACCAGCTTTATACAGGGGACCTGCCCTATTTACAAATAGGAGCTTCCACATACAGTAAACATCATAAGTGAACATGTGATTTTATCATATACAAGCAGCAGAGACCTTCCTAATTAACACCAGCCTCCCTACAGATTTCTTTTGTCTCTTTCTCCCCCATCCCAACGGCTGGTCCCTAGCCATGACCAAATTCTGGGTTAGGGTAATGAGTATTGTTCAGCCTCAGAGCATCATGAGGACAACGAAGATAGAGTACTGCTGTTAACAATTCAGATTACAATTGGGTTATCCCAGCTAACCGAAAATTGGACCAATTTTAAGTGTCCCTTAGCCACAGAACTAAATTCCAAAACACAGAGCGTGGGACATCTAGAGGCAACCCAAATTTTCAGTCTTCAACTGCATAGTTATAAACATTTGCACACAGCTGCACATCTGTGCTACACGTACACACATCTACAGAAATTCACCTTTTGAGACTGTGATTTTGTTCCTGACATTTCATTTAATCCAAAATTGTTAGACAATCTGTAGAATAGAGTATCAATTTTTACAAGACATCCTAAAATGTCTATTTTCTTTTTGGTATTAAGGTAGTAAAAGCCATTCACAGTCCTTTTCCCATTACTTCTCTTTATTTTGTCAGCCAGGTCTGTTTAACTCAGGTAGGTTTCCATTATTAGAGATTTAAGAATCTGTGTGTAGACATAACTACAGGTAAAAAAAAAAAAAAAAAAAGGCATCACTGTGCCCATAGCAACCAGAAGATTGAGTTTTAATTTAGAAACTTTGCAGTGAAAAAAACAATAGCTTTCTCCAAAGTTATATGGCTGTGTTTTATATCTGACAAGGGTTTATGGTCTAAATAGCTACTTTTCTTTGTTATTCTCACATTAGGATTTTTATACCTGCATTTTCCTTCACACAAGCAGAATGTTTCTTACAGTTTCTCTTCATTGAACTTACCAATAGTACATTAGGCTTTTCTCTTCTAATTGTTCTGCAGCAAACCCCACTGACTGTAGAAATTGAGATGTTTCTCTAGGGAATTTAAATTAATCAAACATCTCACTTCAGTTTTCTGTTAACAGCCTAATGTCAACTAACATACTCATTTGTCCACTTTCTTTAAAAAATAGTACTAACTCCTCAAATTTTGGAGATGTTAATGCTCTCAGATTTTCCCCTAAAAGCAAGTCTTCCCTCGGGTTAGACAGATTATCATCCAGCTGGATTTCTCTTATAAAAATACTCCTCTAATTCATACATAAAACACTCTGAAAAGGACAGCACAAAATTGCTCTGTGGAAAAACTTATAATGAACAACTGCCCTCGTCCCCACTTGATTTTGTTTAATAATTACGGACACTAAATCTAAATGAAGTCAGATTCATAGCACTTCATCCTTTTCCCCATGTACCAGACTCTTGTGAGAATTAATATATTTAAAGTGTCTTGGGTGATATTAACGGAAAAATACGTCCTGAGTTAGTAACAAATTCAGCATAAAACGTTTATTTTAGTGAAATACAAAATGAGCAATTTCCAATTTCCTTTTAACCCGACTTATTAAAAGTAAGTCCCATTCACATGTCCTTCATCTAGTATTATTGTATGTTGCCGTTCAATTTAAAGCAGAAAAGATTCTCCCTGTTATCTGCCAAAGAAGTGGCTTTGACAATTCCAGGTATTATCTGCCATCTCCAAGAAAGCCACTCTGAAACGTTAGGTAGATCCCAAGGGTCCAGGTCCAGGGATCAGTCCCTCGCTCCCCACCCGGCTCGGGTCCCTAACGCCGCAGGCAGTTGCTTAAGGCGCTCTCCGCCTCCAGCCACGCTGCAATCCTCGCTCCAGGCACTGCGGCAGGTTCTCTCCGTGCCCCCGAGGAGGGCTCTCCAAACCCGGCCAGCTCTTTTCTCCTGCCCCCGAGGATCCAGACGCCCTGGCAGCTCTGGGTTCCAGGACCGAGAATGGGATGCTGCCTCCAGTCCCAATTGCCCTAAGTTTCTTCCCGGAGGGCCCGCGAGGCTGCTCCAAGTTTGCTCCGGCGGGCGAGCGGCCGCGCGCACCGTCCGAGGAGGAGGGCGGCGGGGGGCGCAGGCGGAGGGCGGGGAGGGGGAGGGCGCGGGAGCGGGGGGTGGGGGACCAGGAGGGGGAGGAGCAGGAGCGCGCGGCCTCGGCTCTACCTTTCTCCAAACAACGTTGCCACACGCGGAGAACACTGAGATTTCTGGGGCTTTGGAGGGAATCGCGAGCGGGCGGGCGGGCGGCGGCCGGGGGACCACACAGGTGAGCCCCCACCCGCGCCCTCCCCGGGGCCGCGGCGGGCGCTGCAGCCCTCGCTCTCCGCACCCGCGGATCTTCACGGTGGCCCTCCCCAATCCCACACTTTCAACTGCTGACCCCGGGGGCCCCCTCCCCCTCGCCCCCCCTCCGCCCCCACCCCCGGCTACGAGGAGCTGTTGCACTTTCCCAAGCCCACAGGCGCCCCCACCCCCGCGCTGCACCCCCCAACCAATTCACTGCGCGCCCCCCCTGAAAAAATGAAACCGGACGAGCCGAAAAGGGGGGCAGCAGGAGTCGGGCCGAGAAGGAAAGGTGAGGGAGAGGGGACTTACTTTTCGAGGCGCGGTGCTGAGCGCTGCAGACGAGAAATAAAGGCCCGGATGCGGGCTGCCTTGGACCCCGCGAATGCAGTAATGTCAGCGCTCCAGTCCGGGCGCAGTGGGCGGCGGCGGCCGCAGGGGACGGGGACGGGGACGGGCGCGCGTGCGGCGGCCGCTCGCGCTGCGCTCCGGTCGGGCCCGGGCTCCGCGCAGCTCCGCTCCTGGCTCCCCTCTGGCTCCTGGCACCAACTCCGGGCAGTCACATGACGCCGGCGCCGCTCGCTCTGCGAGCCTCCCGGGGCTGGCGAGGTAAGTAGAGGCTGGGACCCAGGGTGGGAGGGTCAGGGAGGGGAGAAGGAGCCGCCGCGGCCGCCCGGGCTGGGCGGGTCCCCACCCACTTGGGTGGAGGCAGCCGCCGGAGGGGTCG